AAGCCACAGTGTCAAAAATATTCTGACCTGTTGTGGCCTTTCTGAGTTCTTTGCTCTATTATTTTTCTGTAGTCAAAAAACGAGTAAAAAGTAAGAGCTTGCATTTTCCACAGGGTGCCTTTATCTAAAACAGTTGAGAGCCACTGACCTAAAAGAATCACAGTCATTTACAAGCTCTTCATCCAACTTTATGCCAGCTAGCTTGTGTACCTATGCATGACACTGCATATGCACTGTAGACGTACCATTATGTTGTCTTCCTGTTTCCTCCTCCTCCAACTCTTTTCTCCCATCACAGCTGCAGCTCATCTGTGCCCTTCTCACCCTTTTACTTGCTCCAGGGATCCCATATGTATCCCATTTCTTCTCCTTTGTGCTTTTCTTAACCCATCAATTCCCTTCTTAACCTCCCATTCTTTTCTAATTCATGCTTTAGTCTCTCCCATCTTAAAAAACCCCATGCTTGACTATCTTTGATTTTCTCTCTCATATCCCTCTTCTCTCCTCTGTTTCCCTTCCAAGCTAATTGACTGTATTGTTTACAGTCACTGCCATGTGCTCTTCTCCTTCAGTTCTATCCTAAAATCTATACTATCTGTCAGTCACACAGGTCACTCAAAGAGCTTCCATTCCTTGCATCCCACTGAAGGCACATCCAGCACAGTCTCTAATGAACCCTTCCTAGTCTTGCTAAATTCCAGAATCTACATCTCCCTTGACCTGACAACAGTAGAGTAAAAGCCATGGCCACAATAATGTTTAAGAGCCTGGAGGGCAAACCTTATGAAGAAAGACTAGGGGATCTGGGACTGTTCAGGCTGGGGAAGAGAAGACTGAGGGGGCACTTGGTGGCCATCTATAAATATGTAAGAGGTGAATATCGGGAGCCAGGAGAAAAACTGTTCACTAGGATGCCCCAGGAGAGGACAAGGAGCAATGGTCATAAACTGTTAGAGGATGGTTTCAGGTTGGATGTAAGGAAGAAGTTCTTTATGGTAAGGGTGACCAGAATCTGGAATAGGCTTCCCAAGGAGGTGGCGAAGTCCTCAAGAGAAGATTGGACAGACACCTTGCCGAGATCTCAGCAGTATTCCTGCCCAGAGCAGGGGAGTTGGACTCAATCTTTCAAGGTCCCTTCCAGCCCTTAATTTCTCTGATTCTAAAGCAAGGGAAGGTATTTCCTGCTTTGCCAGCCCCTGACCACTGAAGTTTGCTTTCCATTATTGATTTGCCCTGAAAAACCAGAATGGTTTAACCTAGTATTACTATTCTACAAAGCCTGCAGCAGTACCCTGCCTCTTCTGCAACCTTCCAGCAATCTACCTTTCCCCATTGCTTTTGTATTAGTGTAACACAGCATGTTACATTATCTCCTGTTAGCCTCTGGCAGGTCCATATAGAAAGTAACATTATTCTACTGCTGCCAGTTAATTGAGTTAGTCCTTTAATTTACACAGCATGGTTTTGGTCCTGGGTTTGACCTGGGCTGATTGCACATGGGGAAGGCAGGTTCACAACACTGGCATCTTTGAGGAGATTGACAAGAGATTCAGAAGCTCCCCCCAGAATTTCTGCATTCAAAATGTTAGAAGAGAGCAAGCAGCAAGGAAGAATGGACTGACTTGAAATGGTAACAGCTTCAAATACCAGGAATGGAGGCAAAAGAAGAAGGAATGCACATCATGGAGCAGTATCAAGTAAGGATTAAAGAAGAAAAAAAGCAGAATTCAGAGAGATCTCAGGTCAAATGATTTGTCTTTTATTTTTACACATAAATTTGGCATTAACCCAATGGCTTTATACTTCAGTTTGGAATCTCCTAAGCAGTGCAGGGGCCACATTAGCAGGGTGCATTCCCCAGCAGGTTCTCTTTTTGCACTGATCCCAGACCAGTTTGTAAGCAAAAAGGTTGGAATTGGATAATGACAAGAAGGTCCTCATGTGGAGCAGAGACCTTTTACTGCTTAGTGAGGGGGAAATGACCATGCTGAGCGACAAGAATATCAGCTTCACTATTAACTAATAGTCCTTTTGTGCTTGCCATCCCTAGCCACTTTTGAACGGTCTTAAGGAGAGAAACCTGAAGCAAGCCTGCATACTTATTGCTGATATACAACCATAAATATTACTATAATAAGTTGTTAGTAAAATACAGCACCAAAGGTGTATCAATACTGTGCTAGAACAAAAATTCCTTCAGATGCCTTGTTTATGTAGCAACGCCAGTCTATCAAACTCTGCTTAATAAATAGAAACAAATAGGACTTCAGATGCAGCAAACATATTTTAGTTGCTTTGTTAAGACTAGTTGGATAGCACCCGGCACAAGAGGACCCCTTGGAGGTAAGTGTATTACAAATAATGAATGACAACTATATTTGTGCTCAGGTTAGCAACAAATAAATCTGGTTTACCCTGCCTTGTTTGATAAGCACACCTGTCAAAACTAAGCTGAATTTACAGGGTATAATCTCATCTTATTTACTTCCCTTATCTAAAAAAGCATAAAAAACTGTAAGAATACTTAGCATTAGTGCATTATTTTAAAAAGCCTATAATTTTAGTCATATAAAGAATAATAAACCTGAAACAGTCCCAATAATCCAAATGGAGCTGAAAAAAACAGTGTGGAGACTCCTTGAATATGGTAATCTAATAACCAGATAGGGGAACTTTACTATAAAATGTAATGTTGTCAGTGTGGTGTTCTTTAATTACCTTTCTTGTATTTCACCATATCTGGGAGAATTTTCCCGCAAGCAATCTCCTGTCTGCTGTCCCCAGTCTACTGAAACAAATTCTATGTTACTCATTGTTCTCTTTTTCTCTGTATAGTCCATCCTGCCATTGTCACATCTAACTGCAGAAAGTAGATGATTAGACTGGATGCCAACTTGAAAGGCCACAGAAGTTCCTCCTATGGTATGGTTTACCTACAATGGGGACCTGATGACTTTCCCAGTGCTGGTCTGATTTTTACAGCTGCTAAGCACTCTTAGCTCCAACTGACTTAACCTAGATTGGTGAGTGCTCAAAACTTCTGAAAATCAGGCCAACATTGTGCCTATCTGATTAGGAATATTCTAAATATCTACACAAAACAATATCCAAGATGCTGCTATTTAGGGTTTCAGTTCAACACCACGTGGTTGAAAACACCTTCATAGGATGGTATCAAATAGATATTTCAGCCCATTAGAATAAGTTAACAGCACTGCACCAACCCTCTGCTTGTATTCTCTGTGTGAAGCTTACCACCTAAGATAGCGTGATTCAGAACGGCACTAATTTATACAATGTCATCTGGATTTTCTGATTGATAAACTAGAAACTAATTTACAGCCCAAAGACACTCATCAAAATTTAAGTCACACATAAGTAGATGCTGCAGTCACACCAGTAAATCTCCAGGCCACATCCAACACTCTCGCAAATGATGCAAGTTGTTACATGAATGTGAATGAGGACATGAGGTCAAATGTCACAGTTTGGACTTATTTGGCATTGTGTAATTGTGGAGAACAGCATAATTCATTTATAATGGTGGAATAAGAGGGAAAGCATCTACAGTAAAAAGCATACAGTTAAGCTACAGACACAAGGTGGAAGTCCTGAGGTTCTGTGTATGGACACAGGGCTCTTCTGTTAATCCACCTTGTTAGTAAGAATTTGTGACCTGCATAAAAATGCAATGTCATTACTACTTACTTATTGGGCATGGTTAATTCTCCCAGGATGGCTCTGATTCTGGTCAGAATGAAATAGGGGCAGAGATGGAGAACTCTTACTAGAAGTCATACAAACATCTGACTTTAGGAGGGACTGTGCACTCAAATTATACTCTGTCATTACTATTCAAGATAACCTCAGGACTGGGAGTAAGTTTTTCACTCTGTGGCCTGAAATGTCTTTGTGAAGGGGCTAGGGGAGAACAACGCCTGCTTTTAGATGATCATGTGCACCCCTGCCCTGACACCATCCTATCAACTGCTTTTCTTGCTACAGGTTATATTTGTTCTATGCACCTATTAAAATTTCAGAAAGGTGCATAACAACATACCCTTCCACGTTCTGACAAAGTACATCAATGTGTAATCTACACCATTATTTAAAGCAAGATAGATTTCTTCACAAGTATCGATACATACTTAAGTATAAGTGAGCATTAACAAGTGATCAGTTACAGAGAAATTCCTGTGGAGTAATATTGGAAAGCGACAGGATTTCTAAAAATGATTCGGAGATTAACATTCACTACACGGCATACCAGAAAGAATCAGAGCCTCATATCAAGTCCATTCAACTGAAGCATTCTCATTGAATACAATGGCCAGTTAGTTGCACCCTTAAAGACTTGTCATTTACTCCAGATTATCAGTGACACTTCCTAAACTACTAAGGCAGTACATACATTTCATAGGAACAATTGGTTGCAGTTGCCAAAATACTGGCCAAATATTGTCTCAGTCGTGTGGATCCTGCAGAATGCTTTGAAGATCTCAAGATTGGGAATTTAATTGACTTCTTTTGTTCACTTTTTCTATTGTGAGTGGACAGCCTGGCAGTGAGGTCACTATTGTAACTATCACAATTACAGCATTCCTGTTCTCTACTATAGTTCTTCATTTGAGGTCTTAAATATGCTGTAATAACCAAACAGTCACTCTCCATTACAAATAGTTATTTTATTGTCATCAAAAGTTACAAAAGGTCTTATGTGGTCATGTATATACGCACATCCAAGCATCAGTAAGAGTAATCCTTGGCCAAAATTCCCTTCCACCCACAGTCCACTGAAGTGTTGTGTAGAGTTTTACTGTGTGCCGTTTAGCTGTCGTTATGCCACAAAGGTGGCTGCTTTCAGTGGTGCCCTGTGTTTACAGTTTAGAGATCTTTAAGAATGAAAGGTACTTAATATATGAAGATAAAATAATATTGGCATTTCTAAATTAGTCTATTGCTTCTATTTTCTTAGTCTGTTTTAGAATAACAAACGTTACCTTGTCATAATAGTATCTGAGTGCTCGGCTCAGTTTGTCATAATTCATATTTGTTTTGTTTTTTCTGAGCCCCCACAGCTTAGCCACTTCCTCTGCCTTAAGTAGCTTGAATTCGCCATCATTGGATGTCCAACAGATCAGGTGCTCATGTTTCTGGTCCAGCAACAACTGCAAAAGGAACTGCCACAACGTGATTGCACTCTCCATACCTGTGACAGAGGAGAGAGGTCAGTGTAAAAACTTTGCATGGCACAGACTTAGGCTCCGGTTTCATCTCAACATTAACTTTTCTGTAGGATTAATTTTCCCCAGTTTAGCAAAGGAAAGTGTCAAGTGGTACAAGACCAGGGGTGTTCAACCCCCTGCCCATGGGTCAAATCCAGCTCATAGGGCTCTCCATGGGTCTAGAAATTCTGCTACCAGACTTCCAGACCTGTGGGGAGCCCTGGGCCCCATGCACTCAATCAGGCATCCAATCCCAGCTCATAAGGCCAGGCAGGAGTGGTGTCAGGCCCCAGTGCAGAGAGCTAGGAGGGTGCAGTGCCAGGCCCCTGGGATTCAGTCCTGGCACACAGGGGCAGGAAGGGATGACGCCAGGCTTCCAAGGCCCAATCCTGGCTGGAGGGGTGGAAAGAGGTAGCGCTAGGCTCTCAAGGCCCAATCCCAGGACACAGTCATGGAAGAGATGCAAAATCAGGCTCCCAAGCCTAATCCTGGTGAGCATGGACCAGCTCCAGGCCATTCATCTGGCCTATGGGACCAAAAGCTTAAGCACTACTGTATCATACCATTCAAGCACAAAACTACCAACCTCTCTCCCCCCACCAAAAGAAACCCCAAACAGTCTTATGTCACAATTCTAGTTGTAATATTCTTATTTCTCTCCCCATTATATTTGGGGGTGGGTGATAAAGCAGAGTAAAGAATAGGTAAAATAATCTACATTTGGTTCACAAAAACTCAGTTTCCATTTCCAGACCCTTAGCAACCCACCTCTTCCTGCAAAGACCACTCACTCCCTCCTGCTTCCTTGCACCCTATTGCCTACTTACAGTCCATAAAAATCATCAGAATTAAAAATCATCATTGTCCATTATTCTGACCATGACACACTCTCACCATCTCCCCTATAACTACAACATCCAATTTAAGCATAGCTTCTCAATGCATGACCATGCTGGTCTTAACACTACATCTGCTCGCCTCTCCACTGGCTGTCCCCATGTAGGTCCCCACCCAAGGAATGCACTCTAAAACCTGGTCAATTAGGTTGTTATCCTCCCCCCAGTAAAACCAGTAATTGTGCATGTCTTCACTCAGTAACTGCATAATTGTATCACTGCAATACCTCTTCTTTCTCCCCTATTCCCTTTCACTGCTATTCTGTCACCTCTTGTTACTTTGTGTCTTAATTTATACTGTTCGTAGTTTCCGCCGGTAACTAAATCATTAATTTGTGAGGTGCTTAAGTTACATTTATTCCACATTTCCACTAATGTCAAAATGATGTATTACTGTATTTTACTGCTTATGCTGTTTCCTAATCAAATTACATTAATATGTGATGAATATTACAGTTTAAATTAATAAATAAATAAAGATTTTGTCACAAGATGACTTTCTATAAACTTTCGATGCTACTTACAAATAAATGGGCATTAATTAAACATCAGTTACAATGAAATTCCTATGGAGCTGTGCAATTCCTTGCATAGCTACAGAAATTCTAGAAGTGGTTCAAGAGATCAGTGTTCATTTTATTGCAAACAAAAGAATTAAGAGCCCAATCTAATATCCACTGAAGTCACTTGAAAAACCCCAATTTGCAGAAATGGGTTAATCTTCATTATACTTTGGGCATTGTAAAATACCTTCCAGAATGTGACTGAATTGGAATATTTTGTTAGTTGTATAACAGTTGTATATTTTGTTATTTCCTTTCAGGATTGTAGGCAGAGCTGACATTTAGGACTATACTTTTCAAAAGTGCTGGACTCCCATATTTAAAAGTGATTTAAGCACATCTGAAAAAAATTCCCTCCACCTGCAATTAATATTTCCTAATACTCCCCATACATGTTTCAACTGCTTGCACAATTATTGAAGAACCTGGAACCTTAAAACAGGCTGTATTGTAATTTAGCATATACAAACCCAAGTTAAGATTCAGGATTGTTAACACTAAAGGTGAGGCAATTACTACTATCAAAAATTCAGTTTCAATTGATCTTTTAAACTACAAAATTCATTTTTATTTTTTTTTCTCATTTTCAATCATTTTAAAATGTATCAATGTACAATAGAGTACCTAACAGCTTCATGCTGGTCATTCTGTCTTTTGAGACTCCAGATGTCTAAATCCAGTAATTAGTTGCTAACCTCAAATCAGAAGAGAAGAACATTTATAACAGTAACTAAATCAATATTTTTTTAGCCCTTTAATTAAGATCAAGGTTTAATTCTGACCTTGTCCTGTGTCTAATCTGGACATGAAAATCCCAGTATTATCAGGTTAACTTGTTTTTTATGGATATCTACTGCTAATCAAATAAAAATTCATTGCCTATATCTGAGTCTAGGAAAGTGGAATTTATCCCAGGAACAAAATGAATAGGGTTGGGTCAGGTTCACTATGATCCTTGTATCATTTTATAAGATGGGCAGAACATATAATAAGTTTAAGGCTCTATATTTGTTTGGTTTGTCGGCCACAGGAGGGCGCAAAGCTTCTAACTATTCAGCTATGTGAAACTATCTGCACAAGCTGCTCCTTGGACTCCAGGTTTTCCGCTTCGATCATATTCTTCAGGATATTAAAGAATTAATGCTAGTTTATTTTTACTCATAAAAAAACTACTGGATCCCACTTTAAGTAAAACTGAATTTTTTAAAATAAAGTTTTAATGATAAACATAAATCAGTTAATCTGAAGTAAAAAATAATGTGTCAGCTGAAGACATTGGAGTACTTAGTTAATATTTTTAGTGGAAAAGCAAATTGAAATGGGAAGGAACTTGTTTTGTTCAAAATTATTTAAAAACACACTTGGAAAATGGGGTTTGCTAAATTAGTCATAGTTTTCTTTTCCCTGTACACGTTTCATTCTTCCACTGTATTCGGATTTGCAGAATAAATGCAAAAAATAGGAATATATATTCCCAGCTGAGTCATATCATAATTATAAAATCTATGACAGTGCAGAAGTTCATGGGGAGCCGTTCTGATCTTCTGAATAAACCTGTATTTAAGATCATACAGAATACATATTTAAAATTGGCCTATATATATAGGAAATATCAAAGGCACTACATTGACTTACTAAAATAATGTAAAATGTAAGTACAAATCATTTTTTTGTTTTACCGAAGTGTAGGGTGTGAGAAGTTGTGATACTATAGATATATTGAAAATTATACTGTATATGCTATGAACACCACCATTACAGCAGACATATTTTATTGGCTAAATGAGTACTTATCATTCCATGGTGAAGTATTTATCTAAAACATCATGCTTAACCAGGTAATTCTAATTCTATACATGTATGTACACACACACACACACACACACACACACACAGACAGAGTAGCTGGTGAGTCAAAAAGGTTTACTCTATTTTTTCACAGAGAGTAGGTATATAGAATCACATTGCTAAAAAACCAGTATAGCTTAGAGTAGAAATTCAAACACAATAATATGTTACAAAGAAAAGCCTTGCACAATTTCAGTTTACATCTCATGCTTTTTTTAAATGACAAGACATCCAAAATCACTATTTTTCACTCTGGGAAATTAAATAATGCTTAAAATAATTTGTTTTAGAGTTTTGTAACATAAATCCCCTGGGCCAAGACCTCATAGCTAGAATTTCAGCAGAAGAGATTTAAAAGGGCAAGGGGTTACGAAAACACCAACACAACCTTCACAAACATGACACAAATCATACTGCTATAAGAGTTCAGAGATACACTGCATATTTCTTTGCTTCTAAATCTAGATCACCGGTTCCCAAACTCTGACCGATTGTGCACCACCAATTTAAAACCATACAACCTTAAGTACCACCAGCAAATTTTTGTCATAGGAAGGAATTATAATAAATCTGTTAACATGTACCGCTGACAGCTGGTCTGTGTACCACTGGTGGTACGCGTACCACAGATTGGGAACTGCTGAGCTAGACTACATCTTCCTCGGGCATATCAGAGGAGAGCTTAATTAGAGCATAATTAATTTAGGAGCATGTTCTATGACAGCACTCATCATCTCCACTCAGCCCTTTTGAACAACTTTAGTGGTAACACCTTCAGCTAAGAGTTTCCCAACTCTCCATTATCAGATGCTGTTTTCAGCTGCTCACAACTTTGCCAAAACTAAACTGTTTGGATGGAAATGTCCTACATTAGGTGGCTAACTCAGAATAATTTTTGCAGGTAAAATGATTTGGGCATTTGCAAGAACAATGTTAAGGAAAAATACATGGAGCTGTAGACTGTGGGGAGGAAAGGGGAAGGGCTAGGAGCCAGAAAGAGAATAAGGCAGGAGGAGACAGAAAGAGGAAAGGAGAACTATTTTTGGAGGGTCTGTAACCAGTAGGCATGCTCTGCTGAGAACTTCGAATTTAACCCTTTTTTTCTGAGGCATTGGGCAGGGGTGGCTAACAAGGGCGCAAGAGGGGCAGGCATGGTGGGTGGGGGTTACAAGCAGCAGAGGAGGCATATGGTAGAGGCAACAGATGGCAGGGGGCAAAGGTCTGGCTGTTTGACTCCCCTGCCTGCCCACCACCTTCCCCCTCTACTGCCTTCTACCCCACTGCCTGCCACCCTGCTAGTGCTTTCCCCACTGCACCAGTGTGGAGGGAGCAAATTTAAGATGACCCTCCAATAATTAGATTTTGTTCATGGAAAATTATACCAAATTTACATATTGTCCATATACAGAATCTAGTTATTGGGGGGTCGTCTTAAATCCAAAGTCATCTTGGATTTGGATAAATACAGGAATTAACATTATAAGTAATTAAGACAAAAAAGCCCACTTTGTATGAGAAAAAAATAGAAATGGTAGGCAATTTTCCAATTAAAAATGTAGTTTCCACAGTATTAGCTTTCACAAGGACATCTTGATTTTGCCAAAATAATTTCATTTTCTTCCAGAAGAATGTAAATATTTAATTTTGGAATAATTCAACCCAAATTAGAATGTTTCA